AAAATGATCAGGGGGATGGAACACCTCTCCTGTGAAGAAAGGCTGAGAGAGTTGGGGTTGTTCAACCTAGGGAAGAGAAGGCTTCAGGGAGACCTTATTGCAGCCTATCAGTACTTAAAGGGGGCTTCTAAAAAAGATGGCGGCAAACTTTTTAGCAGGGCCTGTTGCAACAGGACAAGGGGGAATGGCTTTAAACTAAAGGGGGGTAGATTTAGACTAGATATAAGGAAGACATTTTTTACGCTGATGGTGGTAAGACACTGGCACAAGTTGCCCAGCGAGGTGGTGGATGCCCCATCCCTGGAAACATTCCAGGTCAGGTTGGACGGGGCTCTGAGCAATCTGATTTAGTTGAAGATGTCCCTGTCCATGGCCGGGGAGTTGGACTAGATGACCTTTAGAGGTCCCTTCCAACCCAAACTATTCTATGATTCTATGATTGTGTTAGAGTTGTAAATATCTCATTCTACCTAGAATAACAGCTTGCTAATACTACCTATATAAAACCATGTTTGTACCACATAAGGATACATAAGTAAAATAAACTAGCCATAGATACCTGGTAATTAGAGAAATTGCTCTCACAGCTAAACCAAGTGAAACAAAACTGCAGGCTGGTCATGAAAAACTCAGAGCAGGCCTGGCAAGCCTTAGTCCTGAGGCCTTGCGAACTCAGTACAGAGCCTATGACAAGACTACATGGTCACATCAGAAGCAGGAATACGAGTGCATTCGAATCTATATGCTAACACACGATGAAGACAGCTGGGAGGCGAGGGAGGCTGCACTGCTCAGACTTCATGAAGTTCAAAAAAGCCAAGTGCAGGCCCTACACCTGGGTTGGGGCAATTCCCAGTATTAATACAGACTAGGAGGTGAATGGATTGAGAGGAGGCCTGAGGAGAATAACTCGGAGATACTGGTAAACGAAAAATTGGACAGGAACTGGCAACGTGCACTTGCAGCCCAGAAAGCCAACCATATCCTGGGCTGCATAACAAGAACTGTGGCCAGC